CAGGCAAGAGTTACAGCCCAGACAGTGCTTTCGTTATTAGTCCATGGCAGTAGCATTCAGTTGTCAGGTGTGGCCATAGATGGACTTCACGTAACTTGTGGGCGTGGTTCATCCAGTACAGGGCGGACACATCGAGCAGGTACCCAGAGTGGTCCTTCATCTGTGGAAACACAAGCATACCCTCTGCCCCAAGTTAATAGTTCGCACGGTTGAGACCACTGCCCTGTGTGCAAATCTTTTACCCTGACTTTCACCCCAGGGGAGACAGGTGTGGACTTTTGTAAGGAGCCAAAATGCCGGACCATGGGTGGATCCTGCTGGCCCTCCGCGATGTTAACAAAATTGAGCACATAGGTAGCCTTAGCGAGGCGAGCTTCAGGGGTTTCCCCAGACAACATTGATCACCTAGGGACATGGTGGCAACTGCTGGGGCACTGGTGATATCCCCGGGACAGCATTGACATCATTGGAGACCAGTGACATCACAGGGGACTGCTTACAACAATGGGAAAGCCGTGATGTCACAGGGACATTGGTGACATCACAGGGGATGGAGGTGACAACACAGAGACACCAGTGATATCATTGGGGACATTGGTGACATCACAGGGGACAGTGGTGACAACACAGAGGAACCTGTGAAATCATAGGCGATTGTTGCCATCAAAGGGCAAGCCATGATGTCAGAGGGACATCAGTGACATCATAGGGACATCGGTGACACCACGGGGACATGGTGCTACCACTGGGGACAGTGGTGACATCACAGAGACATCAGTGGTGTCATTGGGGACCAGAAATATCACTGGGGACTGGTGACAACAAAGGGAAAGTTGTGATGTCACAAGGACTTTAACGACATCACAGGAGACCTGGATAACAACACAGAGACACCAGTGATATCATAGGGGACATTGGTGACATCACAGGAGAGAGTGGTGACATTACAGGGACAGCAGTGACATCATTGTGGACCAGTGACATCACAGAAGACTGGTGAAAACAAAGGGGCAGCCGCGATCTCCCAAGGACATCAGTGACATCACTGGGGACATCGGTTACTGCACAAGAAAGGCGGTGACATTGTAGAGACACCAGTGACATCATCGGTAATACTAGTCCCATTACAGATACATTGGTGACATCATTTGGGACCAATGACATCACATGGGACTGTTGACAAAAAAGGGACAGTCGTGATGTCACAGGGCTATTGGTGACATCCCAGGGGACAGGGGTTACAACACAGGGGACAGAGGTGTCATCAGAGGGACATCGGTGACATCACTGAGGACAAGTGACGTCAAAGGGGACTGGTGACAACAAAGGGACAGCTGTGATATAACGTGGATGTTGGCAGAGGAGCTTTCAGAACAAACTGCATACAAATCAGGATGATTTACACAAATGTTCTGCTTTATTTACATAACCCAACCTCTTATATACTTTCACTGCCCCCGGGGCGTGATCACTTTCAAACTATTGGTTATTTGCTGTAACCCATGAACCGACTGTGTATTACTGACACACTGCCTATTGGGTGCACACAGATGTCCATGTGATATGAAGACATTGTTTTTCTCCTAAAACTCCTCCTTGTTTTTGTCCCAGGTTTCTCTTTGTTTACATTCCTGCAGTCTGTTATCACTGCTCCTGTATCTTTCCACTGCCTGCAAAGAGGCTTCTGCCTATGTCAGGGCCAGGCCTAACTTAGGCCTATTAGTATGGTTTGTCCATAGTGTGTCTTTTTTCAGCTCAGCACTCCACAAGTCTGATCACCCAAATGGCATAAGAATGAAGATTCCTCTCAGACAAAAGGTGCCAGCACAGGAAGCTCCATGTGTGCATGGAGTGCCAAGAGGGGCTCACCAATTGCACAGGAGAGATGGAGGGTAAGGGCTCTCTTTCCAGGGTGGAAATGCATTTGTTTGGTGTCAGAACCCCTCTGCAGGAATTGTCAGAATCCCTGACCCTTACCCTAACCCTAACCCTAACCCCAACGCTAACCCTAACCCTAACCCTAACCCTAACCCTAACCCTAACCCTAACCCTAACCCTAACCCTAACCCTAACCCTAACCCTTACTCCAACCCTAACCCAAGCCTGAACCCTAAGTCTAACCCTAACCATGACCCTGACCCTAACCCTGATCCTAAACCTGAATCTGAACCATAAAGCCAAACCGTTACACTAATACTTTCCTTAAGTTAGCAGAGAATCACACCAAAAACTGCCGGCATTTTCTGCTTCTCAAGACCAACCAGGCACATGAGGCCTCGCTCCTTCACCCAGGCACAATGAGAGCGAAAAACCTGCGCTTTCAGTTTGCCAGAAGAAAGAGAGCAAAAGCTTCCTCTCCCTTCTTATTTATACATTTGCCTATGTACGAATCATATGGAATACTTGGAACATGGTCTTAGTTCCTTGGTTACAACCTGGTTACCAAGGAAGGCCTAGACTCAAAACCACTACAGGCTTTCTTTCCTGGGTGGAAATGCATTTGTTTGGTGTCAGAACCCCTGAATTGCAACTGTCAGTCGGAATCCCAAATTGGAAGAAGAATGCAGATACATCCCAGACAAAAGGTGCCAGCACAAGAAGGTCTCTTTGTGCCTGGAGTGCCAAGAGTGGCTCACCAATTGCAGGGCAGAGATGGAGGGTAAGGGCTTCCTTTCCTGGGTGGAATTGCATTTGTTTGGTGTCAGAGCCCCTGCCCTGGAATTGTCAGTCTGTGTCCCAAAATGTAATAAGAATGAAGATTCCTCCCTGTGATAGTTTTGGTCTGGGCCTTCCTGGTAACCAGTTTGTAACCAAGGAAGTGGTCATGTACCCCGAATTTCATATAATTTTTACGCAAATCAGAATATAAATAAGTTCTAGATTAGAGTCCTCTTCTCTTATCTTCTCTTCCAGCGAGGTTCAGGGCAGGGGGTCCTTGCGTTGGTCTCGCTTATCTGGAGCCTGAGGCCTTCAGTGACCCCTGGCCTGCCACATGGAGGTTTGGAGAGTGCTGGCCGTGTCTGCTAATCTTGCTTTTCTATGGGACATGGTGAGATTTGTTTTGCTAGTTATTAGGATAGTTCTTGAGTTTCATTGTGTATATCTGCTCGGTGTCCCTTTTTGTCCACTTTTGTCCCTTTTTCCTCTCTCCCTTTCCTATCGGTGGTGTTTGGATTCCCTGTGCTGTGTACATAGCATCTTAACTGTATATACCTGTAATATACGTAAATATACACATTTTTATATAATTAGCTTTATTTTGGGTTCTTCAATTTTTTTATAGTTTTTTTTTTCCTTTGCCCTAAAGGAAGAAAGGAGGGGGAAGTGGGTTGCTACTGTGAGTTTGGGCATTTGGCAGGGAGCCAGGTCTGAACCATCACACCCATAAATCTCATAATGGTGCAGGCCCCATAAAGGCACTGTCCTCATAAAACCCAACAACCTCATAATGGGGCTTTCATCATAAAAGCTCTGTCTTCATGAAGCCCATACGTGTCATAATGGTGCTGTCCTCATAAAGCCCATAAACCTCATCAGGGGCTCCCATGATAAAGGTCATGTCCTCATAAACCCCATAAACGTCATAAAAGCTCTGCCCTCATAAACCCCAACCACCTCATAACAGTGCAGGCCTCATAAAGACACTGCTCTCATAAAGCCCATAAACCTCACAACGGTGCAGGCCTCATAGAGCCCAAACACCTCATAAAAGAGTTCTCAGCATAAAAGCTCTTCTTCATAACACCCTTACATGTCATAATGGTGCTCTCCTCATAAGCCCATAAACCTCATAAGAGGCTCTCCTCATAAAGTCTCTCTCCTCATAAACCCCATCCACCTCACAATGGGGCAGCCTCAGAAGGTCTCTGTGCTCATAGAATCCACCCACCCCAGAATGGTGCAGCCACATAAAGGTTCTGTCCTCATAGATCTCATAACAGTGCAGGCCTCATAAGGCCCCTGTCCTCATAAGGCACATAAACCTCCTCATGGGGCTGTCATCATAAAAGAGATGTTGTCATAAATGCCAGAAACCTCATAAAGGCTCTGTCCTCATAAAGCGTGTGAACCTCAGAACGGGCTCACATCATAAAGGCTCTGTCCTCATAAACACCATAAATGTCATAAAAGCACTGTCCTCATACACCCCATACACCTCATGACAGAGCTCTCATCCTAAAAGATCTCTCTGCATAAAGCCCATGCACATCATAAGGGTGCTGTCCTCAGAAAGCCCATACACCTCATAAGAGGCTCTCCTCATAAAGGCCATGTCCTCATAAACCCCATAAACGTTGTTCCCTAAAAGGTTGCAGAGGAAAAGACTCCAGGCCCAACTAGGCAGGCAGTCAGAGAAGCAGCAGAGGTTTCCATGAGCCTCCAGACTCCAGGAATACAAACCCACCCACGTCCCTTCCAACGCAGGGGTTACAGTTTTTATAATGATTTCCACCCAATGCCCGTCCCGTCCCCGCCCCGGTTCTGCCCCGCTCTGCCCCAGGAACGCCCGTGGGGAATTGAGTCTGGGGGAGTTTGGAGCTTTGAGCCGCTGCAACTACAACTCCCGGCGTGCCCCGCGCGGAAAAGGGGGCGGGGCGGGGCGGGGTCCCTGCCGCAGTCCCCGCGGTGGCTGCCGGGAAAGCGATGGCGGCGACAGCGGGATCTGCTCCGACTTTGTGAGCCCTGGCGGGGTCTGCGGCGGGGCTGGGGATGCACTCGGGGGCTGCGGGGAGCGCGGCTGTGGGCGGGAAGGCTGGAGGGCTCGGCAGAGTGGAGAGGAGGGGCTCGGGGGTTCCCGAGGAGGTTTTGAGGTCCGTGAGGGGCTGTCGGTGGGTCGCGGAGGGGATTTGGTGTCCTGAGGGCGCTCAGAGGGGAGGGTGAAGGTGCCTGAAGGGGTTTAGGGGGTCCCTGAAAGGGCTGGGGGCCTCGGAACCCTCCTGGGGGGGGGGGCTGTTTAAACGCCGTGGCTGCACTGCGCAGGCGCTGGCGGAGTCCCCATGAGGGAACTACAACTCCCAAGAGGCCCACGCGGCGCCGCCATTGCCGCTCGTGCCACAGCGCCCCCTGCCGGCTGGGCGGACCGACCGCAGGGAAAGCGGGTCCTGAGGCCCCCCCTAACCCCAGAGACCCGCAAAACTCAGCACAAAGAGACCCCACAGGGAGGGGATCCCGGGGTCCCCTAAAGCCTATCAGTGGGGTTCAAGGGGTCTCCCAGCCCTCAGGGGAGGAGTCCTGGTGGTGCCACCCAAAGTCTTGTGAGGGAGATGAACCACATCCAGGTTAAGGGATCCCAGTGCCCCCAGTATAGCCCAGTGACCTCCCAGTGGCCCAGTAACCCCCCCAGTGACCACTCAGTGTTTCCCAGTGACCTCCCTCTACCCCTCAGTATGGCCCAATGATCCTCCAGTGAGCACCCAGTAAGGCCCAGTAACCTCCCAGTGTCCCCCCGTGTGTCCTGGTAATCCCTCAGTAATCACCCAGTCCCTCCCAGAGCCCTCCCACATCCCTCAATAAACCCCCAGTCCCTCCCAGTGCCCCCTGGTTCCCCTCAGTGTGTCGCAGTAACCCCCAGTAATCACCCAGTGCCCCCCAAAGCCTCCCAAGTGTCCCCAACGTGTCCCCAGATGCCCTTGACCTTTTTGTGAGCATGGGGGGTTGGGGCCATTTTGGGGGCAGAGGTTTCACGGGGGCCTTCTTGGGGGAGAGGGAGGTTTGGGGACATCAGGGATGGGGTTTGGGTACATTGGGGAGGGGTTTGGGGACAGTGGAATGGGGGGTGTCAAGGGGGGAACTGGGGCTATGGGGAGGCCCTGGGGACACTGGAGACCCCAGGGGGGTCTCGGGGTGCCAAGTGGGAAATTGAGGACCCCAGGAGGGTCTCAGGACTCACCTGCTCGTGGTGCTGCCCCTCCTGTCCCCCCCAGGCCCCAATAAGTCCCCCAAATGTCCCCTAACTCCCATTTTTCCTTTAATTACCTCCTCCCCCAGATCCCTTTTACCCCCCAATGCTCCCAAGACCTTTTTTAACTCCCCTAAATGCACCCAGAGGCCCCCAAATCCCAATCAAACCCCCAACAAAGAGGGATCACCCAGCACCCTGGGTCAGGAACACATTGGGCTGTGCTGGGGGCACTGGGCTGTACTGGGAGGGCGCTGAGGGGGCACTGGGCTGTACTGGGAGAGCCCCAATCCCCAAAGCCCCTCCCCTGGGCATCCGTGCCATGGTCTGGGAACCACAGCGGGGTTGGATCAAGGGGTGCACTTGATGATCTGGGAGGTCTTTTCCAAGCTGGCTGACTCTGGGATTCTCTGGGTGCCATTGCCAGGGCAGCACATGCTGGAGGCTCTGTCCACAGGGGATAGATGTGTCTGTGCAGACAGAGAGACAAGGTCAGTCTGCAAAGATGTGGGGTTAGGAAAGCAGGAGAAGTTGTGGGGTGGTTCTGTAAGGAGAGAGAAGCCCCCAGGCCAGTGCAAGCAGGCCCCCCTGGGCTTGCACATCATCTGCCCTCCCTGCAGGTTCCTGTGCTGGAGAGCAGGCCCTGAGGTGGCCCTGAGCAATGGCCCGGAGGTGAGCCCAGAGCTGTCCCTGAGGTGGCCCTGAGAAGAAGTGGAAGGCAGAGGTGGTGCTGAGGCAGGAGAGCCCCGTGCTGGGGAAGAGGCTGAGCTGGGAGTGCCCAGCAGCGAGAAGGTGCTGTGTCCATGCCCTGTGTGCCAGGTGAGCTGGGGCTTTGCTGCAGAGCTGCGGGCGCTGATTGGAGCGGCTGCAGCTGCTGAGCTGGTGGCCCCCAGGAACACAAAGTGTGCCCGGCCACGGAGCCTGCAGGGAGGAGCAGGGACAGGGTCAGGGCCACTGTCAGCCCGGGGCTGGCTGGGTTTTGGGGTCCCCCTGGGAGCTGCCAAGGGTGGAGGGCGGAGTGGGCGATGCCGGAGCTTGGGGGACCCCCGGCAGGCTGGAGGGGGAGCACGGAGAGGGAGGAGCCCCGGGACCCCCAGGAGCCTGAAACGGGGGAGCGGAGAAGGGGAAGCCTGGAGAGTGGGGACCCCTGGCATCCCCGGGACAACAAGGTGGAGAACCCGGAGAGGGGGAATGTCTGGGAAGGCAGCACCCCAAAGGTGAGAGTCAGAGGAGAAGGGACCCTTGAGAACCACCAAGACTCCCAGCATCCCTAAGTGGGACCCCAAACATCCCAGACGGGAGACCCTCTGAACCCCAGAGGGGAGAGACAAGACAGGGGGAACTCCTGGGAGAGTTTTTTTTGGGCTGAATCTTCATTTTGGCTGAACCTTAAGTTTTTACAGTTTGATGGGAGGTTTCCACCTCGCGATTTCTGAGGGAGTTTTTTGCATGAAAGTAGGCAGATTGGGTTTTTCTGTGCTGAATTGTGATGTTTTGGAGGCTTTTATGGTCCCAGGATGCCCGGTGAGTTCTAGAGATGGACTTGGGCAGGAGGAACCCCCAAGCCAACTCTCAGCCCTTGTTTCCCCCTCAGCAGGATTTGTCCTTCCCAAAGCTTGGGTGAATGGCTACAAGGAAGAGGAAAAAGCCACGGGCCCACCAGGCAGGTGAGGAGGAAGTCAGTGCCCCTTTGGCCCTGTCTTGTGGTGCATGTGGGGGCCAAATTTGGGGGGAATGTCCTTGGCCTTCCCTCTGGGCCAGAGGCAAATCCCCTGCCTGTCCTTCTTCCTTCCTGCCCCAGGACCCGAGCTGAGGACGGAGAGCACGGAGGACAAAGCCCCCCGGCAGAGCCTGGTGGGAGAGGCCGTTTTGAAGGGCTCCCCGGCGCAGGAAGGCAGCGGGGAGGAAAAGGCCCGGAGATGCAAAACCAGCCCAGGGAGCTCTGAGGAGGAAAGACCCGTCCTGTGCTGGGAAGGCGGCCAGAGCTTGAGCCGGAGCTCGGAGCTGGTGGTCCCTGAGCAGCCTCCCAGCAGGGAGAAGCCCTTCAGGTGCTTGGAATGTGGGAAGAGCTTCAGCCAGAGCTGGAACCTCCTCACCCACCAGCACATCCACACTGGGGAACGACCCTACACATGTGAGGAATGTGGGAAGGGCTTCAGGGACAGCTCCAAGCTCCGCAACCACCAGCGCATCCACACCGGGGAACGACCCTACAAGTGTGGGGAGTGTGGGAAGAGTTTCACTGATAGATCCAGCCTGATCCAACACCAGAGTATCCACACTGGTGAACGGCCCTACAAGTGCTTGCAATGTGGGAAGAGGTTTAGGACCAGCACACATCTCCTTATGCATGAGCAGACACACACAGGGGAGAGACCCTTCCGCTGCACCGACTGCGGGAAGGGCTTCAAACGCAACTCCCACCTCGTCGGCCACCGGCGCATCCACACCGGGGAGAGGCCCTACAAGTGTGAGGAGTGTGGGAAGAGCTTCACCTGGAGCCGTTCCCTGACCCTACACCAACGGACCCACGAGTAAGAAAAGCCCTCTGAGTGCCCCGACTGCGGGAAGAGCTTTGGTCGCTGCTCCCACCCCGAATGACCCCCTGATGGTGAGGCAACCCCTGGAGTCCAGTGACTGTCAGTCCATCCCTTTCTACCAGAAAGGGACAGTCCCCTTTGCCAGGGACAGGTTGTGCCAACAGAACCCTTCTTGGAGGGTGTGTGGAGATTCCTGCCTTGGCTGGGACCCCGCAAGGTCACTGTTGGAGGTTGAGAGCAGAGATCTCCCCACGAGCGATGGTCTGGGGGAGTTCCGTCCATCTCTAATTCAGAATTCTTGCTTTGGTGCTAGCTTGAGTACAATTGCTTCAACAATTGCTTTAGTGTAGAGCACTTTCCTATCTTACACTGTACTACTGGTAGTTTTAGTGTTTCTATTGTGCAGTAAATAATTCTGATGAAGATGTTTTTTCTGATCATTTTTTACCCTAAATATTTCATTTCTATCAATAGATCTGATTTGCCATCCTTAAAACCTGGGGGACAAAAGTGGTTCAGTCTCACCTCTGTAATTCCTCTAAACTGTAACTGTTGGCATAACCCAAGACTGAGATTGGATCCAGCAGCCCCCAGCAACCCACCGTACGTTGGGAGCTCAGGGGACCACCCCCTTTTGTAAATCCTCCTTTTCCCAAGAACCCCCATGGGACTGTCAGAGCTGCCAGACCACCCCCACTTTTCTACCCTTCTCCGTGTTCCTCCCACTTTTCCATGGTTCCCTGTTATAATCTGCTTAAATATTGCAGAACAAACTTTAGATTTGCATATTCCCTTGAGCAAAACTAAAACTCACATAAGTATCTGTTGATACCAAAAACTGATTTTATTAATTGCTAAGAGATGCAAAGAGAACGAGGGAAAAAAAAGAAAAGGTTAGAAAATGCTAAGATTATTTCTAGATGCAGAGAAAAGATACCACTGAAAACTTCCTTTACCCGCTGAACTGGTGTATGTGGCAGAGGAGAAGCAGTTTCTGCCTTTTTTTCTGTCCCTGCAGCTTTTGGATGTTGTCTCTGTAGCTGCAGGGGGTCTGACAGCTTTATTTCTCTGCAATGCACCTGTCCCAGGCCATGCAGGGTCTCAGCTCAGCCGAAGCTTTGGGCCCTCAGAAATATGGTCAGGGTAGAAGGATAAGGTAGAACTCCCACATGTGGCACGGTGGTCTCAGCTCTCTCCAGGCCGGCACAGTTCCAGTCTCCGGTGGCAGGCAGGCAGCACGCGGTGGCAGAGAAAAGGTAAGGGGAGGTGGGCAGAGATTCTCGGCTACAGTCACCAGTTCTTCTCCTTTTCCTCTCCCTCATTTTCCAAAATTTGTCCTCAACGTTTGTAGTGTTCACAGGAGGTTGAACGTGGTTTCTTGGCACGTAGCCGGTTCAGATGCTAAAGGAGATATGATAACCATAAACATATAACAGGATCTTTTGGCAGGAAGAGTCCCGTGGGAAGTCCTGGTGGGAACTTCTGTCAGAGAATGTTTGATAGGAAGTTTTTGACAGGCAGAAACAATTTTTGTCATTTCCATATTATGTGTGTTACATAAGGTTGCCATGGTAAGCAATGTAACAGGAAAAGCATTTTGGTTACCATGGTAACTGACCGTAGCAATGGGATAGTATGATGGTTGCCATGGTGAATGGCATACCAATAAGAATGCATAATGGTTGCCTTATTAACCAACCCTAGCAATGTAAATGCACAATGAGAATGCATAATGGTTGCCATGGCAAATGAGGTCACAATGGGAATGCACAATGGTTGCCATGGTAACCGCTTGTAACAATGAGAATGCATAATGGTTACCATGGTATAAGGGGGTACTTTTGATTTGATGATCAGTGGAGCACACAGGGGTGACAAAGTGATTATATTAGGGTGTGAAACCAGCCAGAATGGTACACAAGGTAACTTTATTGCCCAAGTTCACTGTAAGACCCATTGTGCCTTTAGCAAAGTTAACTGCATGTCCCCCATTAGCAGAGCTGAGTTCCTCCTTGGCTTGGCTCCACTCTGCAAGATACAAATCCCCTTGAAACACAATGGTACAGGTCGTCCATAGGGCTGAGGAAGGTGATGGAGAGGAAGATGATGTGGGCAGGGGTCGTTGGCAACTTACCCTACAGTGGGGCACGCCCAGACTGTTGCCATGAGGTGATGAACGGGCGCTGTTTGGCTGCCACTCAAGCACCACCTTCTGCTGCGTCCTGGCCCTACGTAGTGTAATGTAGAGCTGATGGAATGGGGTGTCAGCACTGCTGGGTGGAGCGATGCTCATCCTTCCATCCACACTGTGCTGCTCCGCGGGGACACCCGCCAAGCACGGGCACCGACCAGCCCTGCAGAGCCTGGTAGGCCTGGCCTGTCTGTGCAGGTGAGTACAGTTTATTGATAGGAAGCAACAGGGAAAGCAAACATTTTATATCCTTTTTCCTGTATCCTTTTAATTCCCTTTTTACTAGCTAATGCTATAATAGAGACTGTTTGTATTATTGTATGAATGCCAACTGATAAAATAGTGGTTTTTCTGTTCTTTTTCAGATTCTCTTAGCTGGTAGTGTTTTTACTCTCACTGCAATAAAAGATTTTTTGTATTGTTTCAATGACTGTTGTACTTGTCTTTGTTCTGGGCTTGGATTCAAACAAATACAGAATGGATTGGGAAGAGGTTTCAGAGGGTCCTGGGTGGGCTGAAGGAGACCAGGATGGGGTTTGTGGGGTCCTGGATGGTCTATGGGAGGTTTTTGAGGTCCTGATCCCCCCGGCTTCACCCAGAGATGCCACAGGACACTGTCCACACTAAAATCCTGGTGGGGTTGGAGGCTTCATGTTGGACTTCGTCTTCCTGGCGCTGGGGCTCAGCTTCTACCTGTGGGAGAAGGTAAAGGGGGGTCCCTGGGGGTCGTGTCCCCCCTTCCCCAGAGCGTGTGTGCTCCCCCTGCCCCCCAGCCCGCTGTCACCCCCTTTTCTCTCCCCACAGAGCTCCTGAGCCGCCGGCAGCCGCAGCCTCTCCCCATGGCCTCGAGCCCAGCTGGGACTCCCCAGTCCATCCCCACCCGGAGTTTGGGGGGGTCGTGTGTCCCCCCAGCCCTGCTTTTCTTCTCACACCAGCTGCCTGCTCCCAGTGCTCCCAGTAAAGCTTCCCAGTTCTCTGCAGTCCTGGTGTTGAAGGGTAGGTGCCCTCCCAAAGCCCCCCCCAGAATCAGCTTATACAAATTGTACAATGATTGGCACCCGTTGTCTTTCTGCTTCCAGGAGTGTGTATTTTTCTGCCATGTCTGGTTCAATGTTTTCACAGCTTAATGGCTCAAACCGTGTCTGCTTTGTTTAAAGAAAAAGGGGGAAGTGTAGGGATTTTTAGTGCTAATATAGAGGATATACTGCTATGAGAAATAATATTTTATGTTTCAATTGTGAAAACCTGACCTGTTCTGATGGCCTTCTGATGGTCCCAGGTTGTGAAAGATCTACCAAGAGAAGCAGTAGCAAAACTAGAAATACAAAAGTACCGGCTATCAGAGTGGGAAAGGACATAAAGAATGTTGAAGAAACAGAGCTGATAGAAGAGTATTGTTAGAAAACTGGATCAAAGACTGCTGCTTGATTCCAATCAGCAACGCTCTCTGATCATCACATTGGTGTGCTGAGTCGTCCGTGCTCACATGGAAACCCCCCAGGCAGGTGCCCTCCCAAAGGCCCCCAGTGATGTCACCACTGTCCCTGTGACGTCACTGGTGTTCCCAATGATGTCACAGCTGTCCACTTGATGTCATCACAGTCCTTGTGATGTCACCAGATAGTTGTGATGTCACTGGTCTCCAGTGATGTCACTGCTGTTCCCACATATGTCACCATTGTCCCTGTGATGTCACTGCTGTCCCCAGGAGTAGTCCCTGTGTCCCCAATGATGCCACCACTGTCCCTCTGATCTCATCGACATCCCCAATGACATCCCTGCTTTCCCCAGTGATGTCAGTGGTCTCCAGTGATGTCACTGCTGTCCCATGAGATGTCACCAATGTCCCCAATGATGTCACTGCTGTCCCTGTGACCTCATCGCTGTCCCTTTGATGTCACTGCTATCCCTGTGATGTCACCGCCATCCCCAATGATGTCACTGGTCCTCTGTGATGTCACTGATGTCCCCAGAGGTGGCACCAGTGTCCTTTGATGTCACTAATGTCCCCGTGATGTCACTGCTATCCCTGTGATGTCACTACTTTCTCCACAGATGTCACCACTGTCCCATGTGATGTCACCACTGTCCCCAAGGGTGGTCTCTGTGTCCCCAAAATGTCACTGCTGTCCCTTTGATGTCACTGCTTTGTAAGTGGTAGCACCATGTCCCCCTGATGTCACTGATGTCCCTATGATGTCACCAGACTCATGTGATGTCACTGGTCTCCTGTGATCTCACCGCGGTCCCCTCTGATGTCACCAATGTCCCCAATGATGTCACCGCTGTCCCTATGATGTCACCACTGTCCGTCTGATGTCACCACTGACCATCTGATGTCACCAATGCCCTGTGATGTCAGTGGTCTCATGTGATGTCACTGCTGTCTACATGGGTGTTGCCACTGCCCCCTGTGATGTCACTGCTGTCTCCAGGGTGCTCCCTGTGTCCCCAATGATATCACAGCTGTCCCTATGATGTCACCGCTGCCTACTATGATGTCACCGGTGTTTCTGTGATATCATCCTTGTCCTTGTGAAGTTACAGATGTCCCCAATGATGTCACCGATGTCCTTGTGTTGTGACCTCTGTCCCCTGTGTTTGCAGGCCCCAATAGCCTTGTGACATCACGACTGTCCCTTTGTGGTCACAAAGTGGTCCCCAATGATGTCACTGCTATCCCTGTGATGTCCATAGTGTCATCGATGATGTCACTGGTGTCTCTGCGATGTTGTCCCTGTTCTTGTGAAGTCACCGATGTCCCCAAGGATGTCACTGGTGTCCTTGGGAGATCACGGCTACCCCTTTGTTGTCACCGGTCTTCTGTGATGTCACTGGTCCACAATGATGTCACTGCTGTCCCTGTAATGTCACCACTGTCCACTGTGATGTCACCAATGTCCCTGTGACATCGTGTCTTTCTGTCTGTTGTCACCAGTCCCAAGTGATATTTCTGGTCCCCAATGAGGCCATTGCTGTCTCTGTGATGTCACCACTGTCCCCAGCAGTGCCACCATGTCCCTGTGAGGTCACCGATGTCCCTGTGATGTCACCAGACCCCTTTGATGTCAGTGATGTCCCTGTGAAATCGCAGCTGTCCCTTTCTTGTCACCAGTCCTCTAGGATGTCACTGGTTCCCAGTGATGTCACTGCTGTCCCTGTGGTGTCACCACTGTCCCCAGCAGTGCCACCATGTCCCTGTGATGTCACCGATGTTTCCAGTGATGTTACCAGACCCCTGTGATTTCACAGATGGCTTTCTGCCATCATGACTGTCCCTGTGCTCTCAACGCTCCCCTGTGATGTCACTAATCCCCAATGATGTCACTGACTTTCCTGTGATGTCACCCCTGTCCCCTCTGATGTCAGTGATGTCCCTGACATTGCTACTGGTGTCACTGTGATGTCACCCCTATCCTTGCGAAGTCACTAAAGTCCCCTGCGATGTCACCAATGTCCCCGTGACATCATGGCTGTCCCTTTGTTGTCAACAGTCCCTTGTGATTTCACTGGTCCTGGATGATGTCACTGGTGTCTTAGTGATGTCACCACTGTCCCCAGTGGTGGCACCATGTCCCCATGATGTTACCGATGTCCCTGGGATGTCACCAGATGCCTTTGATGTCAGCGATGTCCCTGTGAAATCACAGCTGTCCTTTTCTTGTCACCAGTCCCCTGGGATGTCACTGGTCCCCAGTGATATCATCGATGTCCGTGTGATGTCACCTCTGTCCCCTGTGGTTTCACCAATGTCCCTGATGATGTCACTGCTGTCTATGTATTGTAACCCTTGTCTTTATGAAGTCACCAATGAACCCATTGATGTCACTGTTCTCCCTGTGATGTTACCAGTGTCACCAATGATGTCACTGGTGTCTCTGTGATGTCACCCCAGCCTTGTGCAGTCACTGATGTCCCCTGTGATGTCACTGATGTCCCTGTGAAATCACGGCTTTCTCAGTTTTGTCACCAGTCCCCTGTTATGTCACTGGTTTCCAAGGATGTCACTGCTGTCTCTGCGATGTCACCACTGTCCCCAGCGGTGGTTCCATGTCTCCATGATGTCACTGATTTCCCTGTGACATCAGGGCTTTCCTTTTTTGTCACCAGTCCCCTGTGATGTCACCACTGTCCCTAATGATGTCACTGGTGTCTCTATGATGTCAACCCTCTCCTTGTGAATTTACCGATGTCCCAGTGACATCACGACTCTCCCTTTGTTGTCAACATTCTCCTGTGATGTCACTGGTCCCCAATAATGTCACTGCTGTCACTGTGATTTCACCACTGTCCCCAGCAGTGCCATCATTTCCCTCTGATGTAACCAATGTCCCTGTGATGTCACCAGACCCCTGTGATGTCACCGATGTCCCTGTGACATCACGACTATCCCTTTATTGTCAACAGTAACATGTGATGTCACTGGTCCCCAGTGATGTCACCCATGTCCCTGTGATGTCACCACTGTCCCCTATGATGTCACCACTGACACTGATAATGTCACTGGTGTCTCTGTGATGTCATCCATGGCCTTCTGAAGTCAGTGATGTCCCCTGTCATGTCATAGATGCCCCAGTGATGTCATTGCTGTCTCTGTAATGTCACCACTGTGCCGAGCCGTGGTACCATGTCCCTGTATTGTCACTGATGTCAGTGATGTCCCTGTGACATCACGGCTGTCCCTTTGTTGTCAGTATTCCCCTGTGCTGTCACTAGTCCCCAATGATGTCACTGCTGTCTCTGTGATGTCACCACTGTCCCCAGCAGTGGCACCATGTCCCAGCTGGGAACACTGATGTCCCTGTGATGTCACCAGACGCTTTTGATTTCAGCAATGTCCCTGTGACATCACAGCTGTCCCTTTCTTGCCACCAGTCCCCTGGGATGTCACTGGTCCCCAATGGTATCACCCATGTCTGTGCCATGTCACCACTGCCCTCTGTGGTGTCACCAATGTCCCCGATTATGTCACTGCTGTCCCTGTAATGTCACCCTTGTCCTTGTGAAGTCACCAATGTCCCCACTGATGTCACTGATGTCACTGTGATATCACAATTGTCCCTTTGTTTCCATCAGTTCCCTGTGCTGCCACTGGTCCTGTCATGGTTTTGCCCACCAGCCCATCCCTGGGGCTGAGGATGGTTTTGTCCAGGTGATTTCCGGACAAAAAACCAATCAAAAAGTTCAGTGACGCCTTTGCTAATTACATCTTTAAGAAAACGGAAGAGAAGGTTGTGGCGCAGTTGAAATTAGGAACAGCAGCCATGTAGAAGGGTAGCGGGCCCGAGGAGGGCCAAGGCCCCCTCCTCCCCGGCTTGGAGTGGGCAAGTGCAGGACTGAAGCCTCTCTTCTCTCTTGTGAGAGAGTGAAGAAAAAAAAAAGTTTAAAAGACGAACTGCTTAGATGAGAAACCGCTGCAGAAGAATT